ATGTTCTTAGACCATTCCAGTCTATCGTCGATGTGCACTCCCAGGTACTTGTACGAGTCCACCATCTCCACACCACTCCCATGGATGTAGACAGGAGTAGGTTTGACCCTTTTTCTCTTGAAATCTACCACCAGTTCCTTGGTCTTTGTTACATTCAATTGCAGGTGGTCCTCCCCACACCACTCCACAAAGCTGCTGACCAGTCCTCTGTAATCTTCCTCCTGCCCACCCTTGATACATCCCACAATTGCAGAGTCATCTGAGAACTTCTGCAGGTGGTATGACTTTGAGTTCAAGTTCAAGTTCAAGTTTATTGTTGTTATACTCATATACAGGTATATGGTATAACAAAATGCTATTTAGCTAGCTCTCAGACGATAAATATTACCAAATAACAACCATACAATTGTATAATGAAGGAAAGACAGAGACAACAGGCAGTGTGCAAAAACAACAGCCAATGTGCAAAACAACAAAAGGTAACAGTTAATGTGCAAAATAACATCAGATGTGCAAAAACATGCAACAACAGAATGAAATAAAAGGATAGAAATTATGGGGAGTGAGCTTTTTGAACATCTAAGGTAGAGGTAGATTTCAATGTGTGTTTGAGTTTTTGGTAAGAAAGAAGGCACTGCGAGGTTCAGATCATAGGTGAGAGATGAGGTGAGAGTGAGAGAGGCTGGGAGTTTGATAGTGCGGGGGTAAAAACTGTCTCTGAGTCTGGTAGTCCAGGCCCGAATGCTCCGATACCGTTTTCCAGATGGGAGGGTAATACACTCTGTAGCTGGGGTGTGTGGGGTCTTTGATGATGCTTAGAGCTTTCCTCAAGCACCGTCCGTCATAAATGTCCTGTATAGATGGGAGTTCAACCCCAGTGATGGACTGGGCAGTTTTCACTACCTGCTGTAGGACTTTGCGGTCAGCAATACTGCAGTTGCCAAACCACACTGTGATGCAACCTGTCAGTGTACTTTCTGCAGTGCATCTGTAAAAGTTAGTGAGGATCTGTGGACATCCGTCTTAGGAAGTACAGGCACTGTTGTGCTTTCTTGATCAGACAGGTGGCGTTGAGAGACCATATGAGGTCCTCGGTGATATGGATGCCAAGGAATTTGAAGTTAATGACCCTTTCCACTTCAGTCCCATTGATGTGGATAGGGGCATGTCCGTTTTGCAGTTTCATGAAATCAACGATCAGCTCCTTGGTTTTGCTGACGTTGAGGGTGAGGTTGTTGTCTTCACACCATGTTGTAAGGAGATTGACCTCCTCCCTGTAGGCCCTCTTATCATTGTCTGTGATCAGACCTACAACTGTGGTGTCATCAGCAAACTTGATGATGGGGTTGGTGTTATGTTTGGCCTTACAGTAGTGGGTATAGAGGGAGTAAAGTAATGGACTAAGCACACACCCCTGGGGGACCCCAGTGTTCAGAGTTAGTGTGCAGGAGGTGTGGTTTCCAAGCCTGACAGCCTGAGGTCTGCCTGTCAGAAAGTCCCGAATCCAGTTGCAGAGGGTGGTGTTGAGACCCAGTGCACTGAGTTTCTTGACTAGTTTCTCTGGAATGATAGTGTTAAAAGCTGAGCTGAAGTCAATGAATAGTAGTAGTAACTGAGTTGTATTTAAAGTCTGAAGTATAGAGGGTGAAGAGGAACAGAGAAAGAACTGTCCCCTGAGGAGCCCCTGTTCAGACACACAGTTCTGTGTTACATACAGTAACATAACATCTTGTTATTTAAATTGTATGCTTTTTAATATTCTACAATTGTAGGAACAAGTAAAAATGTATTCCATGCTGAAAAGAGAAGAAAAGAAACACTTGTAACCTTATTCAGGAATAAACCTTTACTTGTTCCTTTGCAGCCTAAGCATGCTGATACAGCTACTTACAGTACTTAAATGTCTATCACGTTAGTTGTCTTTTTAATTGTTTTCCCATATTACCAAGAACATGTAAGTGATCTGTCAATACAAATACCTAAGGCTTCTTCATAAGTACCTCTTCTAGTTCACTGTTTCCCATTTTGTATTTATAGTTTACATTCTAGCTACCACATGCAGTACCTGACATTAAACATCATTTGCTATGTGTCTGCCCACTCTTGAATTTTACTGAAGTATTTTTAAAATGTCTTTTTCTGCCTCTACAATGTTTGCTCATCCTCCTAATTTGACTGGTAGAATCTAGATCATTGACATAAATTAAGAAGAACAGTGGTCTGATAACCAATCCCCGAGGTACACCAATAATAACATCATCCTAAATTGATTATTCACATTTTATCTGTACCCCCTTGTTTTCTACTTAATAATCAATTCCCAATCCAAACAGTTGGGTTTCCCTGAATGCCTACCACCTGCAATCTGAGAATTAATCATTTATGTGGAACATTATCAAAAGCCTAAAAATCTAACTACAACAAAGCTAAATATCTAAATACACCTTGTATTAAGTCCTATATGTATGCATTACTGTTCTTGCTTGTTTAAAGAACTCTAACACATTTGTTAGGCAAGACCTATCTTTTCCTTTTAACTTACTTAGTAAATGCTGACTATTTACTAGCATATATGTGATACACTAGGTGATTCCATGTAGGTAATTATCTAGTTTAGTTCTTGTGATAATTTCCATTACTTTACATGTATGTATATGTCTGTAATTACTTGGTTTAGTTATAGTTACATTTTTTATGGATGAGTCCCATGTTTCTAATTCTCCAGTCCCTGGTCAGTATCCGTATCCAAGAGACTGCGTGAGACTGTTGGAAGAGATGCGTCAGTGGTTTCTGTCATTTCCTTGACTACTATTTGAAAG